CTGTAAACAGTTCTTGAAAAAGAAACCACACACTTGTCCCTCTGCCAGCCCGCAGCTTGTCCCCACAGCTGACAGGGCAGTCATTGTCTTTTCTCTGATGCCCTCTGGCAGGGCTCCTTAATTTGAACTCCATGGATCTCTAGCAGGTCTACAGCTAGAACTTAGATCTGAGAACTTGGAGAGGGTAGAAAAACAATTTGGTCTTTTTTTCCATTAACCATGAACAGAATTTTAGCATTTCCTTGAAGTACGAATGTAGGCAACAAATCCCAATAACATTAGGGGTTTTTCTCACCAAGAGAAATCACAGCTATTTCCATATCATGTTACAGTTGTTACATCTCAGGCATCACCAGACTCTAATTTCTAGACTTGCCATTAGGCCTTGTGGTTTAATCTATTATTAGTGATAGAACTGGACCACAAAGTGATAAAAAAAAAAAGTATGACAATTTCATAGGATTGATTTCCTTTGTCATACTGTGTATCATATTTTATGCACGTAAGGCAAGGAAGAATGTATCTTTAAAAAATGTTATTTTGAGATAGGATACAGGTTTCCTAAACTGCCAGAGGAGTTCACACATGACTTGTCAAAGACTAATATCCTGCCTGAGGTCTTAGACTACTTTTGCTCTTTGGGCCCTGTTTTGTTGTTTGTGTGCTTTTGTCTGTGGAGATGAGTGGGAGGTCTCACTATGTAGTTAAGGCTGGCCTTCAAGTCGAGGTCCTCCTGCGTCAGTTTACCAGGTTCTTAGATTAAAGACATGAGCCACCATGCCTGGGTCCTGGTTATGTGTCATTCTTTTGGTGTTTTGTTTTGTTTTGGAGACATGGTCTTACTAGGTAGCCAAATAGGGCCTATAGCTTGTCATCTGTCTGCCTCAGTTCTGGGATTACAGGTGTGTGTCACCATGCTTACATCTCCTGGGCTTCGTTTCTGAACCATAAAACTTTGCCTGTCTGTATGCTAGTATTACGACATTTGCCAGCTTCACCTCTGTGCTGCCTGTCTTAATCTACCAAAGTAGGGCTAGTGGCACTGCTCCTAGGAACGTTGTGACAATTAATACGTGGAAAGCATTTGGGCTTGAACTCACAGTCGCTGTAGCTAGCTAAGTGTTGGCTATGATCATTGTGGCTGGTTCATCTCAGTGAGCTCATTCAGATGCTCTACTATAGCCTCCATTTTTAGAAGAAGGAAATTAAATTACAGAGAAACACAGTGATCAAGGCAAGGGCACGCATCACAAGAATGGCAGAATCCAAGTTCAAGGCCACTTCTGTGTAAACCTTAAGGCCAGTAGAAGTCACTCTTCACAACAGAGAGGAGGTCAGTGCCCTCAGAGAGATGATGGACATTACCTAAGAGCTAAAGAGGGAACAACTAGCTTCTTGGCAGTCTGAATGAGCTAGGCTTTGCCTCCTGTCCTCAGCACACCAATTAAAGAGAGAACAATGAAAACTAGATAAAAGTGGTTTTCCATGTGGCCACATTGAGAAGAGATCCAGTAACTCCCAACTCTGTATTTAGGGCTACGGATGTGGGAACTAATCACTGAACCATTATTAGTCTGGGTTCTGTTCTGTCCCTCAGGTTGGTCTGATAAGTTGTCAGAACTCTCCCTGGAAGACAAGTTCCTCCTCTGGCTGACACCAAGGTTCCAGCCTCTCCCTTCTGCCAGCATGCAATTCCTGGGAAATTTTTAGTTCTTTGGGTTCCCTTGTTTCAGAAGTCCGTTAGCAGAAGGGAGTACCACGAGTCTGTCATTAGAATGTCCCCTCTCCTGCTTAGATGGCTGCAACCCCTATTGCTTCCCTTCTTGCTTTGTTGTGGGGGCCTCCTAGCTCCATATGCACAACACCAGCCAGGTCTAAGACGTCAGTCCTTCTAAGGGCTACTACTCATGCAGCATCCATATTCCATGGGGAAAGTTCACGTCCTCACAGTGCACAGATCCTGCAGGAATGAGCTCATGGTGCAACCCGGAACACCCTTGTTCTAGCCTTATGGTTCACTGGGGCCAGGAGTACAGGGCAAGGAGGAGCTTCGAAGGGCAGGGCTGTTTGGGAGCAGAGGTGGTTTCATGAGGGAAATGATCTTGGAGCTGAGCAGATTGCCAGTAGACCGGAGCCAAGAGTGTGAATTCTGCCTCTTTTCCCTTTTCCTTTTCCCAACTCCCCCTTCCCCTTCCCCCCTTCCCCGCTTTCCTTTCCTTCCCTCCCTCTTCAGAAGGTTCTCATTATAGTGTGAAGATTGGTCTTGAGCTCCTGGGCTCAAACAATCTGACAGCCTCCACCTCCCAAATAATTAAGACTGTGGGGTCATGCCATTGCATCCTGCATGTTGTGAGTTTTTAAGACAGATGGATGAGATGTTCAAAGGCCTAGAAGCATGGAAAGGGTGTGGTATGTAAGGAGAAGGAAGTGATTCAACATGTCTGGAGATTGGACAGGCTAGAAAAAGAAAGGAATGTAATGGGCATGCCTACCTTTTGACCAGATAAAGAAGAATGTCAGAATCAGGTCCAGGACTCTTCCTCTCCAGGAGAACAATAAGATTCGTAAGTTCAGAGCAGTGTGTGTGTCCATGCACACGTGCATACAAACACACTCTGTAATACCATACATAGAAAGTGGGTTGATTAGTTGCAGAAGATAGTAGAGGTTAGACCAGCAAGGAACTATAGCAATCTACAGTCTAGGGAAGAAGCTGAACTGAGGGGCTACAGTCTAGGGGAGAGCCTGAACTAAGGGGCTAGCGAGTCTGGACTGGCTAGATTGTCTGCCCTGTTTCATACCTCAGCCAGGTTTCATTCATGTGCGGTAAGTGGGAAGTCAGGAATTGCAGGGGAATTGGCCCTCCTTGTTTCAGCTGTGTGTGGGTCCTGTGGGATAAGCTCCTCCCCCAAGCCATAGCCAGCACATCACACATTTCATTTTAACCTTTCTCACATTAACATCAGGAGGGAGGCTCATGTCCCAGTCCGCACCCTACCCCCATCCCCCATTAGGAGGGCTGCTGAGGTAAGGGGCCCCTATTCCATATCTGCATGTGACAGGCAGGAAGGGACGGGGGTTGCAGGGAGCAAGTCAGGGCCTGCTCACTGTCAAAGGAAATATCCACCCCTTTAAGCCTTTAAGAAACTGTTTTCTTCCAAGTAGATCCCCCTGTTACCAAGGCAACTTGAGAACTCTGGGCTTTGTGTTTCTGCCCAGGGTCCCTGGAGAGAGATAGCCTGCTGAGCTTTCCCTAGTCTGGGCAAGATGCAGGATGCACTAAGTGGAGGTCCTTGTGTAGGGGTAGTCTCTCACCTCATTCCTTAGGTGCTTTTCCCCAGGAGGAGCCCTCATTACCTCTTCCTGAGCCCCATAATCCAGTTTTGACCATGGAGGGCACAGTCTGCACATCAATAGGTCCAACTTCTTCAAGACGAATGTCTGCACCCACCTATGGACTATCAATCTTAGAATCTGAGGCAGGTGTCATGGAGGGGTCTGCTTACACCAGACCATGGTATATGCTGGGCAGTCATCGTTACATAGCTTTCTCAATTGTTTATTATATATTAGCACTGTCTCTCTGGCCTGGTGCCTGCTTTGGGATCTGTATGTCCAAAGAGAGGACGGGGTTGATCACAGGCCTGGAAGCCCGCAGGGCTAGTGCACATTTCTTCCCTTTCCTCCTGTCCTTCACCTGCTCCCATTAGTTCTTATAAAAACTGACCCCAATTACCCCTGCCTGCAGCATCATGATGCTGCTGGCATCCCTCTGACCCTCTAAAACTCTAGAAGGCGATCCAGTGCTCACTGGGACAGCTCACAGCCTGTGCAGCCCTGTCCTTCCCCAGAACGGACAATCAGCCACATGCTCAGCACTGCCATTGGGCCAGCCTTGCTGGGTTTCTCTTCAAAAAACAACCACCATCAGTCTGGCTCCCTCAGAGCTCCCAGATACAGCCCACTTGACCCAGAGTTCCCCCATTGGACCCAAGATTCCTGAGATTTTGGGTTCCTCAGATCTAAAAGGGAGGAGAACAACATTGCCTGGCTGGATTATAGCACTGAAATGTTGGGTGAAATGGTTCTCCTCCCTTTTTTCCTCTCAAGTAACTAGGAGTGTTACTGTGAGGGTCCAGAGCAGGAAGGAATCAGGAGCCAGGCCTGCCTTGTTAGACAGTACAACCGATGGAGTGGGGGCAGAGAGGAGCTGTTCTGGGAGCTGACAACCAACAGCTACAGGACTGTAAAAAAGCCATTCACTGACACCTCTAGGGCAGTGGTTTCTAGGCCTGTATCCTTCTTTACCTTAAAGAGGGTGAGACTAATCAATAACCTGCTGCCCAGGATGTTTATCAGGATGAAGGATAATGGCAGATTCTCAGTGCCTAGCCCAGCACTCACAAGAAGGAAGACTCTCATGCTCTCATGTCTGAGAAGGCTAAGCAAGTCCCAGAATGGGGTGCAGTTCTTTCTGACGCCACACTAAGAAGCAGGGAGGTCTTGCTGACCCTACTTAGCCTGCTCTGGGAATTTGGTTCCAGCTAGTTCACTGGAGTCCCATAGCACCATCTAGTGTCCCAAAGTGGAAGGGCCCTTTCTCTCCACCTTGCCTGCCTTCCCTCCTTCCTTCTGCTTGTTGTTACTGGACCTTCTTTTCCTAGAGGATTTCAAGGCTTCAGACTAGCACAGATCAGCTAAGTAAGGTGCTTGGGAAGTAAGTACCTCAGCTCCCCCGTCTATGTTTGTTCAGTAACACAGACAGACACGACCTTTACACACCCTTTATTTCTTTTATTGAGGAGAAAAAGCTTTAGCATACAGAACGATTTATCTTCACAGCACAATAATACAACAGTAACAGTAATAACAGTAACACATTTGTTTTTCTGGAGCCTCCGGGTGTCTTTAGACCACCCTTGTACCCTGCATGCATCCCCACCCCCACCCCCACCCCCACCCCACCCCCACCCCCACCCGTTCCCCCTTAACCCAAGGAGGCACTGAGAGCTTTGGACAGTAGCTGTCCTGTAGCTGTCACATCACAACAAATATTGAAGAACTGGGAAAGAAGGGAAAAGGTCAAAGGAAGTTCAAAGCCCCTCTGCCCCCAGAGGCCCACAGACCAGTTTACTGCTCATGCGCTCGGTCTCCCTGGCTGAGGCCACAAGCATTCAGAGTAAGAAGCACCACGGAGACAGGCAAAGCCTGTGCCAAGGGGGTCTCTGGAATTAGAGGTACAAGACACCTGCTTTTGGCACTTCTCCACAAGTCCACAGGCAGCGTGACCAGCATGTTGACATCAGCAGACAGGGTCCATAGCTTCGAAGAATAGAGTTTTCCCTTCTGGAATTCTCGCTTGAGGAAATAAGCTGAAAAACAGACACAAAACAAAGTCTTCACATGGTTCCTTTTACTCCTACCCTGGTGGGAATGGGGAAGCCAAACAACTGAAATGTCTAACGACTGACTCAGGAAGGTGAAATGATTCTGCGTCACACAGATGACAGCCATTTCAGTCCTGCTGCTGGTCCTCCAGAAGGATGACCTCACCTTTGAGAAAACCCACTAGAATGAAACAAGTGCTGCCTCTGTGTGGCGAGGTTCTGAATGGTAGTCAGGGAGCTATTTTGTCCTTACATCCGTTCTCTACTTCCCAAATTCCCCATAATGACTACACATTAACTTTTCTCTTTGGGGGACCCATTGTAAAAGCAGCAGGTTATAGGAACCCAATTCTACTGATCCTCAGGCTAAAAACCAAAGGGCTAAGCAAAAAGGCCCCTTACCTCTTGCTGATGAATAGAGATCTCACCATTAACCAGTCTGAGGACTAGGTCTGTCTAGGACTCCTCTTCCTCAAGTTCCTTCTCTGGTCTTAAGTTCAAGTTCTAGGGCTGAGTTCTCATCTTCAGACTCCAGTGAGGATGATACACCATTTACTGTTTTCTTCCTGCTGACCACAGATGCTTGGGCTTCACTTTGCCCAGCTGCTAGGCATTGTGCAGCAAGTTCAATGTCCAGGAACAAGTCCAGTGAACGGGGCTGACATTTTGTGGCCAGAACTGACATAATACATGTGTACTTTCCACTGCAGAAGCAGTATTTTCTGGACCCAAAAGTGAACAGCAGGTCTCTTACTAGGGGCACCTGAATTTGTGCCCAAGAAGCCCCAGGAGTGTGTAGGAGGCAGTCACCTCTTAAGCCACACTGTTTAACTGAAGTTCAACAACAGGCCTGGGAGAGATTTGCCCCTCATGTGAGAGCCATGGGGGTGCTGGGCGGCAGCGCTGCAATGAGTCCAGTCTCTGCAGAACAGGCCCTGTTTTCTCCTTTCAGAACTGAGGACTTCTTAGAGTCAGAGGGGCTTAAAGAGTAGGCCAGCAAGGCCACCTTCACAATCTTGAGGACACAGTCTCCTCAGAGGCCTCTGGCTGGGGGTGCAGTCCAAAGCCTAGCTTGGAGAAGAGGGCCCTGTTCCTAAAGCAAGATTCACTCCTTAGGATGTCAAACTCAACTGTGGTGCTCCTGCCACCTCTGCCTCCCCCTTTCCCTAATACCAGTCCTTTAGGCAACATGAAGGCAGAAGTAGCCAAAGTCTGTTCAAGGGTTCCGAGGCAGAAGTCTGAGGGAAGGTAAAGCCCAGCACTCAAAGTGAAGTCCATTTGCCACCATGGGCCAAAGAGAGTCAATCTCAGACAAGATGTCCATTGCCCGTCTGGCTTTGCATATTCTCACTGCGCTATGTGTAGGTTCCCCTCTCAGGCCCTTCTGCTGGAAATATGGCAAGTGCATATTTCTTGGTGTCATCCTGCTCGTTGTCTAGTAAGTGGCCTCAGGGCATTAAGAGTTTAGAACTAATGCCTTTAGATCATGGATTGGGGCAGATCACTCAGGCATTGGGTGAAGTCAGGATAACACTGTAGAACACAAGGCAAAGAAGCACAGGAGAGGCAAAGATTGGGGACAACTAGAGTTGAAGACAAAGGTGACCAGTGCCATTTACAAGAACAGGCCTAGAGACTTGCTTTGCAACTTGTGCGAGGACTGAGCAGAGTACAGGGCAAGAGGACTGGTGAGTCCTGACCTCTTCTTTCCTAGATGGCCCTGGTTGGGCACATTTCACTCTTCTGGTTGTGGTTGCAAAACAATCTGGAATTCTGCAGGTCTTCTTTGAGTTCTTCCGGTCTGGAGCTTTCGTACGGACTGGTCAGTAGATGGGGCACGCACAGCAGCAATAGCAGAGGCAAGGGAAGCGGTGGAAGGGTGTGTTCCCATGGCCAGCTCACCCCAGTATTCACACTCGAATCCGACCTTGAGCTCGGTGGCCCCCCTGCCTAGGAGTGAGGCAGAAGAGCATTGAGGGACGTCTTCGCATTTGGCGTTGCCCCAAGCGACCTGCATGGCGAATCAGTGGTGGCGAGCTGTAGAAGGAAGAATTGGTTCCTGGAAGGCCATCCAGAAGTGGGACTCGATTCTGGTTCCTCTGTCTGCTAGAATGCATCATGGAAGGTGGCACACCCATGTAATTTTCAGCATGGTAGCCTATCGCAGAGCTAATGGTCTGGGTCGAAGTGTCAACAAGGACAGGTTCGTCCATCAGCATCAGCTCTCCATGTAGGCTATGGTGGTGGGCAGCAAGTGTGTGCATGTGTGCATGTATGTGCTCATGCACATACACATGCTCGTGCTCTATCTCCTCCCTCTCTTGCTCCTGCTCTGACTCCAGGACCCTAACTATAATTTCATCATCTTCTTCATACTTATTTTCATCACTATCCTCATCCTTCATCTCTTCCTCCTTGTCTTCTTCCTCTTCTTCCTCCTCTTCTTCCTCCTCCTCCTCATCTTCATCTTCCTCCTCCTCCTCCTCCTCATATTCATAATCCTCATCCTCATCCTCATCTTCCTCATCCTCCATCTCTTCTTCCTCTTTCCCCATCTCTTCCTCCCTCATCTCTTGTGGAAAAACCGTCACGTGCTTCCTCTGGTCGTTCAGATAAAGCCTGTACCCGCCTGCCTCTTCATCCTCACCCTCATTTTCACTGTAGAACTCCACACCTTCATTTTCATCTTCATTAGGAATTAATGCAAAAGGGCAGCAGCTATTTTGAACTCCAGGGAGTGAGGCTGGCTTGGGGACACGCACTTTCCTTTCTATCTCAATACACTCGAGAATCAGCTCATCAAGATCTGCCATTTCAGTTGACCATAAGAGTTCCTTTCGGAAATATTCTGACAAGCCTTTGAGAAATTGGTTTTGGAGGCGACAGTCATCCCAAGACAAGAACTGGGCCAAGAACTGAAAAGCATCTGCATAGCTGCCCAGGGTACAGTTTCCCTGCTTGAGCTTGCGTATGGCCTTTTTAGCCACGCGTGAGGGGATGGGGCCACAGAATTCCTTACGGATTTCATCCAGGAAGCGCGGGAAGTTGGCATGCAAGGAGCTTCCCTCCTGGGTGACTGAGATAGCCCACTCTCTCGCTTCCCCTGTGAAGAAGGAGATCAGAAATGCCACCCGTTCCGCACCCCCAGGGAAGTGATCCTCGTGATCTGCTATGAAAGTCTCTAGCTGCATCAGAAATTCAGCCAGGTAGACTGGGTCGCCTGAAAAGGGTTCTATGTCTGGCCGCTCCAGCGGTGGCAGAAGGAACTCTAAGGTTGGCTCCTTTGACATGGGGGAGTGCAGTTCCGGCTGGGACAGGCTGGGTGACAGAGGAGGGTCACTGGACCCGTCGGGGTTGGTGTAGTCCTGGACCACATTAATCAAAAGATCATCTGAGACGTACTCAGGATCTGTACGTGGAGGAGGCCAGCACAGGAAAGGCACTTCCTCCTCCTCTTCCTCCTCCTCCTCCTCCTCCTCCTCGGGAGTGGGATCGGTCTCATTGAGCAGGAACTCAAAGTTCTCCTCGGCAAGGACTGGCACTATGGGCATAGGCCAGCGGATGTAGCTCGAAACATTGCCCCGCAAGGAATTAACCTCGGCCAAGGCTCTTCCGAGCTGCAGGCCCAGTTGGACATTTTCTCCTCGAAGGGCATTTAACTCCTCTCGCAGGGCCACATTCGCCAAGCGGAGGCTATTGAGATTTCCCGCCGCCTCAGACATTGTGACAAGTTCCCGGGGCTTTGAGTGCTGGGCACTTGGGGGTAGGGAGTTATGGGGACTGCGGGAGGAAGCAGAAATGAGGAGGTGGGCGTGAGAGGAGACCAAAGTGCGGCGACAGGGAGACCCGGCGCAAGCGAGCCCGGACCACACCCACAGGGGCTCGGTCCGGGACGCGTTACCTCGTGGCAGGGGTCGGAGAAGGCAGGCAGCAGCTCGGGACCTGGAGGCGGCAGGCTCAGGAGACGGATGAGACGCTGGCAGAGATGACGCCAACCGAGACAGGCCGAGTAGGAGGGAAGGGACTGCGGCAGGATCTGTCGAGGAAAAATCTTGCAGACAGCGGATCCCTCGCCTTTTAAGCTCAGCCCCCCGCGCCCCCCGCAGGGGCGGGCCTTCGGGAACTGAGGGAGCCCACTGGCTCCCGCGGCTGCGCTCTCACTCACTCTCTCCTTCCCTAGCTGCAGCTAACTCAGGTCGGGAAAATGCGACAGCGACTGCCCACTCGAGGTCGTCATGGCGACAGCCAGTGAATGTGTTCCTCTCCTCGGGCAGGCCCCCGAGTGTAGAGGAACTGCTTCGCGAGGCGCAGCTCAATCTCCAGAGCCTGTTGCAAGGTACTGCGAGGGTGGGGGGGCTGCCTAGAGGCGGCTGCGCAGCAGGAGGGAGGCAAAGAAGAAACAGGGAGCAGCAAAAGAAAGAAAACAGTTCCAAACCATCTCTCTTTTCACCTTCCAGACTGACGATGCTAAGAATCTGTTTCCAGGGCTATTGCTCTCTTCCTCCCTTTTTGGTTCAGTAGTCCATAAAGGGAGAAAGGATACAGGCTAAGACAGCGTAGTGGTCAAGGAATTCATAGAGAAGGAAATGGGAGACTCCCTCAATGGGGACCCACATTCCTTCCAGTTCTCCAAGCCCATACCTCAGAATTCTGGTACCAGAAAACAAAGGGATCTCCTTACCTGGACTTCACACACTCTGCTCTTGTAATAACCTCCCAGCCACAATGAGCTTCTCCATATAATCACATACCCAAGCTGAGGATGTAGCTTAGTGGTAGTATGTACAAGGCCCAAGATTCTATGTCTAGCACCACCAAAAAAAAAGCTACCTCTTGCTACTTTTGAGTTTCTCTTACTACTTGAGTTTTTCAGAAACACTGGACACAGGGCTGGATCACCCAGAAGGTGCCTGATAGAAACTAAATGTACAAAATATCTTATCAGTTCTTATCTCTCCATGCCAGCATAAATTAATCCCAGTGCAGAATAGAAAACATCTGGTGAGCCTCTCAACTGGGATGCAGCTGAAACCCCCAACTCTCTCCAAAGGGCAGTAGTGACCTTAGAGAAGCAAGATGCTAACAGATATCCACGAGCCCTGTGTCCAACAAGGAAGAGCTACCATGCAAGAGGAGGGAGGGGAGTGAATGTGCTCGTTTAGCATAGGCAGAATTAGGACCAGTAAGCAGAAACTCAGAGAGAGGCACACTCCACCTCCAGACAAAGAAAAACTTTTCTGGCATGGCCAGGGGCCACAATTCAAAGGGAAGAGTGCTCTTTGGGTGTCTGCCCTGAGACTGAACAGCACCTTAGAAGGGCTTCTGAAGATGGAGTCTGAGCATAGATTAGAGACATTGCTGCAGAGAATCGACCCTGAGAGCAGGCCTCAGTACCAGATTCGGAGTCTGTTCAAATGCACACAGAGCCTGGAATGTTCCTTCTGAGCTCTTACTTTCTGCATTCCATCTAAGCCATCGCTTTGGTCAAGCCCATCCAAATCTTACACAAACTTACCTCATCATGTGTTAACTTTGCTGTCTGCTATGCCACCACCTTCAGTTTCCTTACTTTTAGCCTCCGTAGTCCTGACCCCATCCACAGTAGAAAACATCAAGTATGAGTTCTTGCGGCCACAAGGTATGGTGGCACAAGCCTGTATGTAATTCAAGCACTCAAGAGACTGAGGCAGGAGGATCTTGAGTTCTGAGGCCAGTCTGAGCTACATGCAAAACTTTTGTCTCAAAGAAAATAAAGCAAATGTAAGTTCTTGGAATCCAAGACAGGGTTCCAGGCTGGACTTGTCAGTGTGGTTCTCTTCTTGCTTCATGCACATTGCTCCTGGGTAGTGCTACAGAACACCCGAAGAGCTGCAGAGCCTCACAGAATGCAACTTTAGCAAAGGATGTCTACATCCTGACTGTTGGCTCCTGGTTGAGCACTTAAGGTGGGGACCACTAAGAGAAAGCATGATCCCCAAAGCAGCACAGCTTGGATTTACTGACTTTCTTTCCTCCTCTTCCCTCATGGTCCTGGAAACCAAGCCCTTTTCCATTTCTGAATCCAATGCCAGAATAGAGCTCAAAGAAGCAATGGAGCCAGGCTGGGCAGCTTAGTGCGGGAGATCGGCTCCTGGTCCTCCCCAAGCCTGACACTTGGCTGAGTCCCCCTAGAGAGTGTCTCCACTATGCTGTTTTTCAGAAGAATATGAGGAACAGTATTCGGAGGCCAGACTTCTGGGGCAGACCTTCCGCTCTACTGATGAGGCCCCTGAGCCTACCCCCAGCCCAAGGCCCCAGTCTGCCAAGCGTCTGGAGTTTGTATTGATGGTGAGTTGCCTCTGCCCCAACCTGGGAGAGCCAGCGTGCACCCACCGACAGGGGATCTTGAACTGTTTGCGTGACCCCCTGGAAGCTACTGTTCATCACTGCTCACTAGCAGGGCTGCTGTGAGGTCACACTGGGAAGGGTCCTGCACAGTGGGTGCCTAGCCAGGCAGCCTGTACATGCTTTCCTGCCTTCAAGAGGACACCTCCAATCATTCTGCCTAAGCAGTCATCCTATGGGCACCACCAGCTCCTCACCACTCAGAAGCACACCCTTTCCATCACCCTCTCTCCCAACAGCCTGCAAAACGGCAGCTGAGCGAGGATGAGACCACGACCCAGGGTGTGAGGGCCCCCGAGGCCTGCCTGAGCCTGTCTCCTGCCGACAAGCAAACTGCCTGGAATGGCCCCTTCCCTCTACCCATCCTAAAGGAGAAGCTCTGGCTTCAGCCCTGCTCCACGCAGTCTGACCTTGTGCCAATCAACATCTCTGGTAGAGTTGCGAGCGCCACCTGTTTGCTTCCCTTCATGCAAACGGCCTATCCTCTCCAAATGCACTGGGTGCTGGGGAGGGAGGGCCACTCTGTCTGCTACTGGCTCACCCTACACTGTCCAGATCATGACTCCCCAGGGAGTGGAGGCTTACCGAAGAGGGGATTGTGGCTGCTCTTCCCTCACCTGCCCCTATCTGCACTGCCAATATAACTGATACCATGTAATAGTGAACAAAAAGTTCTTTACAGGATGTGCCAAACGTTTTGCTGAACTTGGGTGTTCTTTTGAGTTTACACGGAAACAAAGTTTGTAAATTTTGTTTGTTTCAGGTAAAGATAATGTTATAAACCCAAAGCTGGGTCTGGAACATACAAATAATCGACAGAAGGAGAGAGGAAGCAGAGTACACGTGGTTTAATTGTGGCATAACAAGGGGAGGGGCACAAAAGACTCAGGGAAAAGACCAAAAGGGGGCCCAGGATGACCTTGAGAGTAGTAAGAAGGCGTTTGCATTTGTCTTAGTTTCTTTTCCCATTGCTATGATAACAGACCCTTACAAAAGGAACTGGAGAAAAAGAGTATATACTGGTTCACAGTTCAGGGTACAGTTTTTCAAAGGTAGCTGGAGCTTGAAGGTAGCTGGTCACATTGGGTCCACAGACATGAAGCAAAGACAAGAATGCTTGCTGCTGCTCAGTTCCCCTTTTCCATCTGTAGGGTCCAGGATCCCCTGCCCAAGGAATGGTCTCATCCACAGTTAGGTTGGGTTTTCTCATATAAGTTAATCAAGTCCATCTGCACAGACACACCCAGAGGCACATCTCCCAGGTGACTCTAGGTTCCACCAAGTTGACAGCACTGTCTCAGTCTCCAGGTTAGGGACACATGGAACTCCTGCTTTCCACTCCAGTGGCTGTAAGGAAAAGGGCCAGTTGTATCAGAGAACAAGACATGGGGCCTTATGAAAGCAAGACCTCAATAATCTGAAGGGACAAGAGGAAGCCTGGAAGTTAGTATGCTCCTACTGTGTTGGGGAAAGCAGTGGGTACAGCTCTCGGGCTCTGTGTGGTCATGCTCCCTGGGTATGGGTTCATCCAAGGGAAGGAAAACCATGATGTGAGAATGTGAGACTCACAAAGCAACACTGATGTGCTCTGTCTACATGGCTATCTCACTTGCAGGCTGTTCTTGAGTTTCTCCTGTGGAGCCATTTGCTGGGAAGGGGCTGCAGCGGTGTGGCCGGGAGGGGAAGGTCTGCTCAACCATCTATCTAGTGAGAAACAGGGAGGGGAATTGCCTGTCTGGCCCCATGGATCACCTCATCCTGACTTTGCCCCAGCAAATTCCAGAACTAAAGGGTAACCCAGCACTTTAAGAGAATCAGATAGGGCTTAGTCAACAGACTGCTGGTTTGGGTAATATGTGGCCAAGTGGCTGTAGGACAGACTCTCAGACTACTTCCTAAATGTTGGAGTCATCACCATCTTCACCTGGACCCTGTGAAGACCTAAAGAAAAGATCATAGTCACTCTAGGCATGACAGAACATACTTGTAATCACATCACTCTGGAGGCAGAGGTGGGGTGATGAGATCAAGTCCAGGCTGGACTCACAGGAGTCTAGAGTGCATCCCAGTGGTAGAGTACTTGCCTTGAATATAGAAGGCGCCAGATGCTATCCCTGGCGCCAGAGGAGAAACTTTAATGATCACAATCAAATACCATCTAGCCTTAGCCCACTCTGCAAGCAGTGATGCTCACCCCTGCCTATGCATCTGAAAAACCACCCAAGGATTCCTAGGCAAAGCTTCTACCTAGGCCCTCATCCCAGAAAGTTGAATGTTCTGGAGTTAAGGTCATGGAATTTCAAAAGCTACCCAATTTATTTCAGTATGGAGCCAGAGTTGAAAAAACACTGCCCCAGTAAACCTAAGAAATATAGGCAAACCAAGTGTGTGTACCCAGCACCCAGTTGGGAGGGATGGGGAAGAAGTGTCACCTGCCTGGATGCTATTCATGTTCATTGCTACTGCCATCATCCCTTCTCTCTACCGCAGTCCAGCTTCCACTGTATTGTAAACAGAAACCAGGATGCACCCAAGTGTCTCTATTTTGACTACAGGGCAGCAGTTTGATAGACATGCAAGTTTTCGACACTCGTTGTTTAACACAGAGACAGCCGTGAACCCCAAGTCCACCCTGAGGCGGAGGCGGACCATTATTGGATTCTCTAACTTTTCTCAGCGAGACCAAGGTGACCCCAATACAGTTGATCTCCTCAAATCTTTTCCCCCACCCTTCCCACTACTCCTGTCATGCAAATGGCATTGTGGCAATTAGGGTACTGGAATAACTCTGGGGAGAGGGACTTGAATATCCTGAGAAAGCCAGTGTGGTAATTAAATGGTCACCAAGGGCTTTTGGTAAGACCAGCAATTGAGTTTAGAGAGCAGATATCTCGGGATAATAAATCCTGAACAATAAGTCCTGAACAAAAAAAAAAATCCATTATTGTTTGCCATTACAAATGGAATACACACACACACACACACACACACACACACACACACACACATATATATATATGAAGCACACACCTTTAATCCCAGCACTCAGTAGCAGAGGCAGGAGGATTATCTCCAGTTTAAGGCCAGTTTGATCTCCATGAGTTCTAGGCCAGCCAAGGACTAATAATGAGGTCTTGTCTCAGGAAAAAAAATGTTAACATATATGCCAAGTTAGGCAAATGGGTAAAACTGGGGAACTATCCCCCAACTCATCATCTTGTATTGACTACAATACAAGTCACTGTAGGGACTGAAGTTATTTTTGTAATCTGCCTATCATGTGCCTGGGATATAGTCAACATTCAACAAATGCTCAACAAATGCTGACTATTATGAATTATCATATCGGTAAAGTAGTAATAATAGGAATGTTATAACAGTCATAGCTGTGATTGTGAGAACACTTTTGGAGACTGGAACATCTGAATGGTGTGGTCACATCTGTGAGTTATCCTAAGTCTTTTATTTTCAAAGGTAAAAAGTGACAGATGCTGGAAATACAGTATTCTGGCAAACTCCAGATTCACTCCTGGGGCTGTGAGCCACATGGTGCTGTGATCTTTAGTCAGTTTAGAAACTTTTTTTCTCACCTCAGGACTGATAAATCCCGAGGTCTGCTTGTTTCATAAGTCCAGGGAGAAAATATGGGGGAAACCCAAGGTAGCCCTATGTGACACTTCTACTCTGAAAAGAGTCATCAAAGCTGGAAAGCCTTTGGCAGCCATCTGGCCAATTCAAGGATACCCTGTGACTCACTGTGTGGTGATGGGCAAGAACCCAACTTCCCCCAGCATCCTCATCTGTGAAAAGAACCAAGGAATTCTGACAAAGTTGTTGGCAAATGGTGCTTGGCACAAAGTTAATGTTCTTGTCACAAAACAGCTGATGGGGGATCCCTTGCTGTACCACTAACATGTATTTTCCATCCCCAGGATACAGCAGCAGCCCCACAGGCAGCCTGGCCCACTCTGCCACCTCAGACATCAGGCCTGGCCACTCAGCTCCACAAGCTGTTCAGGGAAGAGTTGCTGTTGGACAGGAGGCTCGGTTCCCAAGTCTCACCTCACCAGGACTGAGACACTCTTCTAGTGAGCCTGGAGACACTCAGCAGGCACGCAGTGGCCCAGACCCTCCCGGCATGGAGAGCATGGCAGTGGTGTACAGTGTCCCCAGTTCTTGCAATGGACCAACAGAGTCAACGTTCTCCGCTTCCTGGAAGGGAGATGCTTTCACATACATGACCCCAAGTGCCAGCAGCCAGGGCAATCAAGTCAGTGAAAATGGAAAAAACCCTTCCTCGGGGAATTCTTGGGTCCCTCTGAGCACACTCCCACCTCTGGTTCCTAAGGAAGCGGCCACGCTCTTTGTCACCCGCGATAACCCCGCAGGATGCACTGGGCTACCCAGCTACTCTGAACACCCCACTCTACGAAGACAGATGCCAGAAAGACCTCCCAAGATTGGCCTTCTTGCTCGTGGTACCTCAAGGCTGGAAACAGGCCCAGGTGGGACCAACAGGTTCCGGGAGCGGTCACTGTCTGTGCCCACAGACTCGGGTGTTACCTCAGTGGACTATGATGAAGAACAGAAGGCCAGTGAGGCCCGCATCCTGCCTTATGCCAGTACAAGCTCCGAGGGCAGTAACAGTACTGACAACATTGCGGCCCTCAGCACTGAGCAAGAGGCAAGGCACAGAAGACAAAGATCCAAAAGTATTTCACTCAAGAAGGCCAAAAAGAAGCCCTCTCCACCCATGCGAAGTGTCTCGCTCGTCAAAGATGAGCCAGCTCTCCCACCAGAAGGTGAATTGGCACTGCCCAAGGACCAGAGGCCCAGGAGCCTTTGCCTCTCCTTGGAACACCAAGGGCACCACCCACCTCGCCCAGATGCTCAAGGTCACCCAGCTGTGCCAATGCTCAAAGATCCAGAAGGTACGCAGTTCTCTCACCACTGGTATCTAACTGACTGGAAGTCTGGTGACACCTACCAATCTTTGTCCAGCTCCAGCACTGCCACTGGCACCACAGTTATTGAGTGCACTCAAGTTCAGGGAAGCTCAGAGTCTCTGGCCTCCCCTTCCACCTCCAGAGCGACAACACCCTCCCAGCTCTCCATTGAGGTGGAAGCCAGGGAAGTAGCCTCCCCTGGGAGGCCCACTGGACTCATGTCCCCTTCTAGTGGTTATTCCAGCCAGTCAGAGACACCCACCCCCACTGTCTCCATGTCCTTGACCCTGGGCCACTTACCTCCTCCAAGCGCTAGTGTCCGAGTACGGCCAGTGGTACCAGAAAGGAAGTCATCACTGCCCCCAACATCACCAATGGAGAAAATCTGCAAGTCGAGGTTATCATTTGACCTACCATTGACCTCTTCAACCACCCTGGACCTGTCTGGGATGAGTATCTCCATCCGCAGCAAAACCAAGGTGAGCCGCCATCATTCTGATACCAATTTTGGGGCCAAACTGGCACAGAAAACTAGTCCAAACCAACCGATCATGCCCATGGTTACTCAGTCTGATCTCCGTTCTGTTCGCCTGAGGTCAGTCAGCAAGTCTGAGCCAGAAGATGACATTGAGAGCCCAGATTACACAGAGGAACCCGGAGCAGAAGAAGTCTTCACTTTGCCAGAGAGAAAAATGAAACCTCCCATAGCCGAGAAACCTCCACTGGCCCGAAGGCCTCCAAGTTTGGTCCACAGGCCACCCTCTCTCCCTGGGGAGTATCCACTAACTTCTCCTACTATGGCTATGACACCCAGGAGCTCCATTCCACACATGAAGCAGCTCCCCCAAGACAGCTACACAGTGTTGCGGAAACCAAAGTCACCCAGCTTCCCCAGTGGGAGGAGCCCCGGTGAGTCAACAGCAGCCTCCAGCCTTGTCTTCTCACCTCTTGCCAGTTCCTCCGGTGCTTTCTTCTCAGGAACACAGCAACCTCCCCAGGCCAGTGTAGAAGACGGAGGCCCCAAGGTGAGAGCCCTGCCTGAAAGAATCAGCCTCCAGTGCCAGGAAGAAGCTGAGAAAAAGATGACCAAGATTCCACCTCCAGTACCAAAAAAGCCCAGTGTGCTCTACCTGCCTCTCGCCTCCCCTGTAGCTCAAATGGATGCCTGCATGGAAGAACCAAGGCTGCCTTTCAGCCCCATCATCACCCTGGAGGAAGATTCCAAGTGTCCCTCCACTGGTGATGACCAGAAGTCACCTGATAAAAGGGGGACTTCAGCTCTTCACATTGACAGAGAAAAAGAGGCCATCTCTCCAGGTAAGTAAGCTGGCTTTTGGCTTTTTCCTTCAGTTGCAAGGAGGGATGATGGTAAGGATGGAGTTAAGAGTCAGAGCAAAAGCCCCAGTATGACCAAATCAGTAGGGGACACATCTAGAGGGTTTGGGTTAACTCTGAAAAGGAACTACTGCTTGACCTTACTGTCCTAAGGATCAGGACTGACCCAGGACAGAGCTCTAAGGCTAAGTTTGGGCAATCTACCCTGACTACATTAGCACACTGGAACTTCCAAGACGTCATCTGTCAAGCCAGGCATGCAGTCCCTGCCCTAGGAGTCCAGCTCGCCAGACAGTAGTTTTCTTTAGCCACACGAAATTTAGATTAATACACAGGACTCAGTACTCTATAAGACGAAGTTCAAGGGTCCTGGAAGGCTTGCAGGATTCTGAGATGATGTGCTAGTATCACCTGCATCCTTTTTCAGAGTCTCTCAGAAGAAAGGACACAGTCTTCATTAAATGATTTTGATTCTAACTCTTCTTCTACCCATAAGACTAGCTAGTTAATGATTCTCCTTTTTGGTTGATGCTGTTTCTGTAGGTTTTTGTTTTAATTGTAAGATACACACAACACTTACATTTTAACCATTTGGTGGAGGGAGGGCACAGGTTGCATTGAGTGTCTTCTGCTGCTATCACTCTTTACCTTTTTTTTTTTTTTTGAGATAGAGTCTCTTACAGAACCCAGAGCATATTTATTGGCTAGACTGGCTGGCCAGCAAATCTCTGGACATCCACCTATCTTCACAGGCCCAGATATGGATCACAGACATGCATGATGGTGTCTGGCTTTTACATGAGTGCCAGGGATCTGAACTCAGGTTTTCATGCTTGCATAGAAGATGCTTTATCAAGGGAGCCACCTTCCTGGCTCCAACCCCTCCTTTTTTGAGACAGAGTTTCATGGTATCACCTAGCTTGGCCTGAAAGTCACAATTTTACCTCAGCCTCTCAAGTGCTGGAGTTGTAGATATGTGCCACCATCCGTGGCTCAATTTCAGCCATTTTTAGCTATGCAGTTCATTAGCTGTTAAGAACATTCATGTTGAGTTACTCATTTCCAGAATGTCTTTTATCTTAAAAATGAAGGTCTATACCCTTGAAACAATTCTCCCTTTCCTCCCTCCTTCCCTGCTGCCCTGGTGATCACGGTTCTACTTTTCAGGCCTATAGATTTGACTGCTCTGGATGCTGAGTGGAATCATAGATTTGTCTTTCTTTGTGACTTGCTTATTTTTATTAATGCCCTCAAGGCTCAATGATGTGTTTCTCGTCGTTTTTAAACCCTTAATACTGAACATCAGAATCTCATGACCTTCTTTAAGCAGATTTAGACTTTCAGTGTAAGTTAATCACTGTGCCGAAAGCAAGTGAGCATGTCAAAGCCACGGGTTATTTTCAAATATGCTTCCTCCGACTCCACAGGCTCCATCCGATTCAAACAGGTCCCATCCACCGCCTCCCACTGGGTGAGGATAATTGCTTTACCCTGTTCTCAGTCTCTTGAGTTTTTTAATTATGTATTTATAACAAGGGGGGCTGGGGAATATAGCTCAGTATCAGAGAGCTTATCTAGTGTCTGCACGGTCCTGAGTTCCAGCCCCAGCACTAATTTTAAAATAAATAAATAAATAAATAAGAAAACATGCTCAGACTACCCGTTTTAATGAAAAGCATTCACGAAAACAGGGATCTGGACCAGTCTGCACCATGTGGGCATTGAATGGCCTGGGGGTAGGTAAATCATTAACCTTCAGAACTTTATGTTCCTCCTTGAAAATGGAGACATCAAAAGTCTCTGTCCTGCTGCCCATCCAGAGTTGTTTTGAACATCAAGTGAAATAACAAAATTGCATCTGCTTTGTCCTAGCTATCATGGTCAAAGTCATTCCTTTTGGTTCTTATGCCTAGGGAGGTCTGTGGAACCGAGTGCCGAAGAGAAAAGTTTAATCAGTGATAAAACAGCCGAATGGATTGCAGAGGAGGATGATGACGTGTTTGTGGCTTCCCGCACAACTGAAGATTTATTTACTGTGATACACAGGTCAGGATCATTTTTCTTCATTGTAATTGCAATTGCTTTCCCCTTTTCTACTTGAAGAAAAAAGACTGCTGCTTCTGAGCAGCCATTAGAATTGCAAGTGAAGATTAAGTCCAGGTACCTACATTTGTGAGCACAGTCTGGGGCCTCACATCTCAAATTCACTGATGTCTTTGGGTGAAGCGGAGGAGGGGAGGACCAGGTGCTGAGAGAGGCCCCTCGTCTCCTAGCAACTGCTTGGCCTATTGTGTCTCCATCTGCTCCCTCACAGCTCTGTCTGCAGTCAGAGACATTTAACCCTTCACAGAATTCCTTGTACCACAGAATTCTATCTCAAGGTGACATGGATCACTGGGCACTATATGAGAGCAGGAACTTAGGCAGAGGGGAACAGAAGTGGGCATAGGGGCATGACACAGGGGGTCTATGAGCCCAGTTACTGGTGTAGAGCACCAGTTCAAACCAGTTCCAAAAGCCTCTGGCTATCTTGATTCAGTCACTGAGCTACTGGCCTTTTAAGTTTGTTCTTGATCTCAGAACTAATAAGGACTGAACCTGTAGCACAGGGCAAGAGACTTCAGTTGTGGGCATTGAAAAGCATGTGGAGAACAGAGGGCCCTGCAAGGGACCGGGAGCTAAGAGGTGAGGAATAGCCTATCAGCATAAGGCTATCAGATGCATACTGTTGAGCACATCGCTAGCTGACAATTTTTCAAAGCTTTGCTGGCTTTGTGCTCCCTGAATTCCCTAAATTCCCTCAGATGAATCTTTCTCTCATTTAGGTCCAAAAGAAAGCTACTGGGCTGGAAAGAGACTGGGGAGGGCTTCACAGGAAGCAGACCCAGCTCCCATTCACCAGTGAAGAATACAGCTGATTCCCCCACCGGTGAGTCTGCTGCTGCCCCAGGGCCAAGTGGCAGTGCCTGCCTAGATGCTGGTAGAAATGATGATTTCAAGGCCTTGCTCCAGAAGAAGGGAAGTAAGGCAACTCCTAGGACCCGCCCCTCAGCGGCCGAGCTGCTGAAGACCACCAACCCTCTGGCTCGAAGAATTATTGCACAGTTCTCAAAAGACTATGAACCCACTGACAACCCCAGTACCTAAGCCCTGCTTACTTACTAGACCTGAGTAGAGAAGGAGGAAGACAGAGGGTTTTTTGAAAGGAATCAACCACAGAAAAGACAAAAGAATCAATGTCTTTGACGTTAACTCACACTCTGGACAGCAGAGAGGACAACACAAAAATGGAGCTCACCGGGCACTCGGATAGGCTTCAGACCATCTGCATTTCCATTCTTTCATCCTTGCCATGACTGAACATTGGAGTCTGACTTTTCATCTCCCGGCCCTGTGCACTAAGAGACCCTCAGATTCGGGAGCCTGTATGCCACCTTGACAATGTCCTAGCTGCTTTGTCCACTGGCTCCTGTCACTGAGAGGCACAGTGGGGAGAACAGATTGAGGACTTCCAAACCAGGCCTGGGGACAGAGGGTATCAGTTCTACTGCTGATTATCTACTCTCTTGAAGAGGCCTTGATGGCCCTATGTGAAGACACAGAAAGACACCAAGGCCTCCTCAACCACAGTGTGACTTTCCTCCAGAGAGCGTTTTGCAGGCGTGCACTAATTATGGCATGGGGTTGATTGGATGCCTTTTGTGGTGCAAAGTATGAATGTGACTCTTCCAAAACTTCATGCCTTTTTCAGTTTGATTGTCTATGCGGAGATCAGGGTGATGAGTTTTAATAAACTTCTAGGTCGCTCCCCCCCCATTAGCTAGAAAAGATGGGACTGGGTGGTGTTGACTGAACCAAGCTCAGCAAACGAATGGGACATTTGTTCACTCACGTCTAGCCAAGGTGACTCACATGTGCGCCTTGAGGTCTTTCGCGTGTCTGTCAACATGGGTAGCCAGGATCTGTTCCCAGCTCATGCTGGATACTCCAAGAACTCTCATTTCACTTGCATGTAACATTCATTACAGGAAGTATGTAGGTGAAAGACTGGCATCATCAAAAGCTCCAGGAGTGGAAAGTAAGTTTATCTTGTCCTGATACCATTCGATTCAGATTGTGCTTTTTTGTGGTTGCTTGGGTTTTGTTTAAAGGAAGTCTGACTCTTTCAAAAGTTGAAAACCTGTACAGTGAAAAAAAGATCTACTCAAAATCAAAAAGGCAGCCTTGCTATGGCCCAGAATATAAAAAGGCTACTTTTTTGCCATCTAGGTACTGCTATTTGGCCAACTTTCAGTTAGCCGTGGTGGAGAACAGCAGAGGAGCTAAGATCAATAGAAGGCGGAAAGACTTCCAGAACAACCACAATTACCCCTTCTTTTCCAAAATCAACAGGCGCTGGCTGTTCTTGTCAATTCAATTTTGTAAGAAGAGCAAGAGCTCCTGATTTCCATATACCTGGTTTCTGAGGGGCTAAGGATAAGATAGGCCAAACACTGAGCAGAGAGACCTTGCTGGCCTGTGCTGGAAAGTTCACTGTCTTCTGGTCCCAAGGGGCCAAAAGGAAATGAACTTGTAGCATGCTTTGCAAAAACAAACAAACAACAAACAAACAAACAAAAACGGTTCCCTGACCCCTTCCTCTTGTACTCCTGGCTTCTACACCCCTGCCCTACCAAATTCCTTGCTCAGTCTCCTGGATGATGCAGCAAGAGGCCAGAGACAAACAGATCTCTATTTTGATAATCTTTATCAATGAGAATCAAGCTCTTAGCTCAACTACCCATAATCCAGCAAGGCAACGTGACTGAAACTGTAAATAAAACTCCACTGAGTACTGAGAAGACTCAGGCCCTGGGCATGGAAGCCCTAGGCTGAGATCCTTGGTTGGGTTGGTCTAATTCTGAATTCTAGACACATGAAAATAGGTCAAGCTCACCAACTGTCTTCTAGCACTTCTCTCTCTCAGATTTTTTTTTTAAAAAAGTCTCTTTAAAGACAGTTCTGAAGAACTCGAGTTGTTTTGGAAGTGTTTTAAACATTTGACATGAAGATCTTAACCAAGTTTCATAAATTTTGACTGAATTTAAACAAGAGTCAGGCAGGAATGTGGTATACAGTTTTAATCCCAGCACCTGGAAGATGGAGCCAGGCAGATCTCTGTGAGGTTGAGGACAGCCTGATCTACATAGCTAGCTCCAGACTGCTGAGGCTACATAGTGAGATCTGGACTTCAGTCTTGGCCTTGGTTTATATAAAAGTATCACAGCTGACCTGAACTCAGAACTCCAAAAGACAGAGGCATTTTCCTCTGTAGGGAAATGAAGGAGCAGATGCCCATGCTTGTGTCTAATAGAAGCAAAAGGCTCCCTGGCTCTGCTCCTCAGAACCATTGTGAATTGTTGAACGTGTGAGCATATGGGACTCTGTATAGGGCTTGCTACTTTTGTCGATTTTTTTTTTGGAAGTATCTTGTCTGTTCCTTTTCATGGGTTTTGCCTCTCCCCTCTCCTTGCTACCTCTAGAGGTCTCCCCCAAAAGATTGTAAATACTGAATGCTTAGACCGCTTGAGGTAGTTTCAGTTGCCTGAACCCTTGCTTTCCTCTGCAAAACTCTTGTGGGTCTGGGATGTTTAGAACATTTCTGCATCACTGTGACTCTCAGAGTGCCCATTAGCACAAGAGGGTTTGGGGCAGAGACTTCACAGTCAGAGAAAAGACTTAGGCCTGGGAGTGTCCATTCAATGTTTGCAGGAGTGGACCTAGTCCTAAAGAAACCAGATTATTGGGGAAAAAAATCTACCAGTCATTAATTAGCACAACACCAGGCATCTTTCTAATATTTAACCTTCTCCCATCCTTAACATCATAAACACCAACTCTCTTCCCTGCATACAGTGTGTGCTGCCTGTGAGGCTGGAGGAGAGTTGGAGAGAAACCCCTTTCAGGGAGGTTCTCTGGGAAGTTGCTACCAGAGTAATCTCTACAGGTGACATACACAGTAAGTTGGAGGGAAGTCAAATTGGCCCCAGGTAGTCAGCCTCTGCTTCAAGCTGTTTGTATCCCCCTGTTTCCCTCCAGTTCCAGTCTTTGGTGGCAGGTGGCTCTGTTAGAGTTGATATAGTCAAAGGTTGGCGAGATGACCCCCACCCCCACCCCGAGATGCACTTAATGCTTTGCACTTCGTGGGTATATATTTGTGGTTCAAATGTGAGTGGTGGAAAGCAGGCTAGTCTTAGTACAAAGGCTGACTTCGCTTTGTGGCTCCTCCCTTTTGCCTGTAATCCTGGCCTACATAGGCCTCCCACCTGGCTCCAACTTATCCTTCAGTCCTAACACCCGTGAACTGCACTGGTACCAACAGCTCACCCACAAAGGAGTCAAGACCACGGGCAGCCAATCCATTCCCGTTAGCTTCTTGACCACAAGGTTAAGGTTCCGCCAACAAGCATTCTGCCTGATATCTACTATATCTAGACAACACAGATCCAGTTGTCTCTGTAACTTGTCACTCTGAGCAGATCTACCCATGCACCTGTCTACCCCCCCCCCCACCTTTGAACCAGTCAGGAAAAAAAAGACTAGTTATCTATCACTCAGTGCTCTGTTGCTCACTGCTCCGCCCTCTATGTTCGCCAAGTCTGTGGCACAATGGTGAGCTTTTCCTTTGATATTATTTGCCAGGGCCAGGACTAGGGTGAGGCGATTGGGGAGACGCCCACTCTCAAGGCCCCGCCAGTGCCTTACCCTTGCCGTGGCCCTGCGATTTGCACTCTGTAAAGTTGTATCAGTTACTTTTCCTGAGTGTAGTTGTGATTTGGGGGCAGGTTCTGCACCAAATGTTTCTTTGCTGTTTCTCCATTTGTTGCCAGAAGCCTTTGTATGCCTAAGCATTAAAGAATCTTAAGTATTATCACAAGCATGTCTAAATAGCCTGCTCCAGCTGGCAAGTTAGCACTCCGGTCAGGAGGAACACTATGGCCAGAGCCCTTCAACAGTTAGTTGGGGGTCTGCTCCTGTGACCTTCTGTCTGTTCTTTCTGCTTCATTCTCCCTCGTAGTCCTTGTGGCCCAGCACCGATTCTCCTCAGTGCCTCCTACTTTGTTCTCCTCCTAAGAAGAAAACATGCTCTCAGGAAAGGGATGAATTCATTTGCTTTGAGACCGGGAGGCTTAATGCTACCTTTTCTGAGGGTCGCTTGCATTTGAACAGGGGAACAGCCTTAAGCCAAAGGAATGAAGTTCTTGCAGAATGTTAGGCATCAACTACTTATACAAGTTCTGTTTCACCATGGAAAGACCACACTCCCTGACAGCTGACTCCGGAGTATAGAAAATACTGTTTTCTCCTGGAATCATTGTAGTTAGTAGCTGATGGTCAATTATCTAGCTAATAATCCTCTGCTGTTTTCCTACTAAAGGACTCTGAGATAAAGCTACTTAAAAGCCTCTGAGAAGGCCTGTATCAATCATTCATATTGTACATTAACATGTTTGTGGAAATGGAATTAATACTTGCCGTTTAGGTAAAAGACACAAAGATTTAAGGAGTTTGTGAAATGTGTCCTGTTTGTGCAAGGTGACTCTGTCGAATCTGTTTCTTACTGATGTCAGTTGTCCTATATCAGTGGTGGTTATTGAATTGATTGGAGGTACAGTTACTAAGGACAGGCCTCCACTCCCCCTCCTGCCATTTTGTCTCTGTTTTGTGCTATGACTCCGCCTTGGTGTAAGAATGAGACCTTATCTAAACCAGAGCCCCCAGTCCCTTCAATGCCTTTGCATGTATTTCAGCTATAAGTGACCAAGATAGTAAGAATTTAAAAGGACAAGAGAGTAGGAAAGAGGTACAAAACAGTGCCTTTGTCAACGGTCAGAAAAACAGTACGATGATTTTTAAATGACACGAAATAAGCCAAGTCAAATTATTTTAAAATACTTTGGAATCAATTTATGGAGGACTATGGTGGTGAGTGATTTTTTTAGATACATGTTGGAGGCACTTTAATAACTTTATCAAAAAGAAGTTTGCCTAATGAGGATTGTATGAAATAAGTATATACTTTTGTTTAGTAAAGACCCAAATCTAGGCCACTGGTTCTCAAAGTGAGATCTTGGAACTACCAAGAGCAACATACGAGAGAGAAGAAGGGGGAGGAGAGGGAAAGAGAGAGGAGAGGGAGGATAGAGAGAGAGTACTCCTTTAAGCCCCTGAAATCACCAGAGCCATGCCTCTCCAACGAGTTCTCAGTCTTTCCTACTGTTACAGTTATCAGTCTCTGGCAAAGAGGTACATGTATCTTGGTCAGGTACATGTTTGCTCAGTGTTAAGAAATTGCCAACTTGAATCGGGCCCATCTGGCTTGGTTTGGGTTTTTGAAATAATAATAACAAAAAAGGGGATGGTGATGGTGGCAGTGGTTCTATTTGATAGTACGAGCCCTTAAGTAAATGTCCTCATCATGGTGGCTGCTCTCCAGGGGGGCTCTAGCAGATTTGATTTTTTTTTTGAGGTTCTGCTTAATGTAAGAAGTGTGGCGTTTGATAGTATTGACCTCCCCCCTACAGGGAATCAAATGAACACCAGAACCAGGGCAACCAGTTAACTCCTCTCAGCCTCTTCGTAATGCTAAGCTTTATAGAAATTTATTCCGTATGTGGTCTTGAGATTTTCTATGTCCAATTTTATAAAATGTTCTGCATGCAAATACAACATTGTGGTTACCGTACCAATCACCTCAAAGCCATTCCTCCTTCATGTGTGTGCTGGTGAAGAAATACCAACATGTATGTTCTAATGTTTTCTGATCAAGTGTAAATTACATTTTCATTAATTTTTAAATGAGATATATTTACTCTGGCTAGCAGTTAAGATTTTATTCTTTTTATTATCTTTCATTGGTACTTTTTTCTACTGACTCCAAGGCTTACTTTGGGGGGTGGTGGGATTTCTTATTTCTATATTGATATAATTCTCTTATTTCTATATTTATCTATAATCACAGAGTGTAAGAGCTGAAAGGGACCAACCTCCCTTGTTTCATAGAGGAAATTAAGGCCCAGAAGGATCAAGTGGCTTACTGAAGGTTACACAATGAGTCTGAGGCAGGGCCCAGCCTCAATTCTAAGTCTCTGGCCTCTGGGATGAATGTCTTGTCATTTAAAGCACTATATTTATGAAGGACCCATGACTGGCTTCTACTTGTCTGGCTCATTGCTTTCCCAGGTATTTCAGTGAAAAAACTCTATATGCTTTAATGGAACATGCACAAGCATTCTTTAGTTTATGAATCCAAAGAAAATCTGGTTTTTAGTTTAGAAACACATCTCCCTCCATGTTTGCTATCTGTGCCCTACTTCGTACAGGGGATGTTTTCCCTAAAAGCTATGTGGAAAAATGGATTTATATAGAACAAATTTCATTTTTAGTAGGAAAGCTTCCCTATGTAAGGGAATCTTCTAGGGGCTTCTTTTGGAAAAACAAAACTTTTCTTGTCATTTGTTCTTTAAGGTCTTTAATTACTTATTAGTGTGAATTTTTGTACTTAGTGTTTATTTAAAGTAGGGCAAACCAGTGTTAGCTTTCCCAGATCCTTACCTTCCTAATCTTTTTGTGAAATCT